CGATGTTCAATTCTCTGGTCATCTGTACCGTCGATTGGCTAGGTCCTGATGCTTTTCGAGATTTATATAACTCCTGGTAATCTTTCTGTAAGGCTCTGTACTCATCCTCACCTTTTTCTTTATCTTTTCTCAACATTGCACATTGTGACGAATGAAAGTCAATGTCAACACCCAACATAGCTTTATCTTGTCTCATTTGCTCTAACTCTTTCGTCCAACCATCTCTTTCTGCTTCAAACTCAGCTCTCAGGATTTCAATCTCTGATGGAACCACCTTGATGTGATCATCCATAGAAATATCCTCATTTTGATCTGGTAAAGGAATATTTTCATTTTTTCTGACAAATCTCCATTCTTCATAATCAGGAGTTAGCATTTCTTTTGCTGCTTTAGCTCGGATACAAAAAGTTGTTTTCCAAGCTGTAACGGCTTCCATGATGTTTCTTTTATAATTTTTGCTGTGGAATGCAAACTCAGATGACTGTAGTCCAGCAGTGACAGGTATAAATTGACGACCTTCATATTGTCTTATAACCAGAAGTGGAGCATATCCAATTCCTCCCCATAATCCGAGCAGCATTATCCAGTTGTAATCACCACATCTGTAAATGAATTCCCTTGCCACGGGGCTCGCCAAACAACGTCATTGCTTTGCAGAAAAGGCATTAATCCACATATCCTTCTTAATTTCTTTCGGCCATTCCTGCTCTAGAAATTCTTTTAATGGTGAGTAATCCGTATTGAAGCGTCGGTATGAAACCTTTTCCGTCCTCCAGAAATGACTACGGATCCAAACATATAACAACTGGGTACACCCTGAGAATCGTCCACCTCCTAGCCTTCTGCAAGCATTTAACGATCTGAAGGTCTCTGCTAGGATGGCAGAAACAGGGTTAATCTTCTTTGGCAGTTGTTCAAACAAGTCTACTACTGCAGCTTCAATATATCCCAATGCTTTTGGGAAGATGACCATACCATATATACCCAGAGCAAATAGATCGAATCGTACTTTAGCGTCTGGATGACTCTGAATAAGCTCTCTGATGTTGGTCCAAGCAATGCCTTCGCTTTCGCCTTTTTGTTTTGTACGGGATGCTACCCATTCTTCTCGTACCCCAGCAATCTTTGCTAATTTAACTCGAAAGGGTTGAGTTTTAATTGACTTTGAATAGATTCGATTCTCCAAAGCCCCATCTATATGTAGCAAAGTTGTGTATTCTTCAATAGTAGGGACCAAATCCTCTTTATTGAGAGTGAAGCAATTGTACCCTGAATTCCAGAATTGAACTAGGGCTCGGAGTAATTCATCATCAACTTCTACATAGAGCAGATATGGGATGTCTCCGTAAGTCTGATAAAACTGCAATTTTTTGTTTGAATCCCAACTTTCCCAAATGCTTCGCAAATCTTGCATATCATTTCTTTTTAGTGAAACTGAAGCATAACTGGCCAAGTCAGATACATAATCATCCTGCAGACTATCTCCTTCTTGTCTTTGTAAATCCTCAGCCCACTGTCTTACTTCTGAGTTCAGAATTACTTGACTTGAACCCTTTTATCCATGGATGAAGGTTTCCAATGAGACTATTAACACAAGGATCAATGTCTTTTATCCTGTATGATGCAATGCAAACAGAAAAATAATGAACACAAAAAAAATAAGTTAGTTTAAAGGATAATAACAGTTTTATTTAATTTAAACATGCTTTTCTAAATAATTTAAATAAACATGTAAAATAAATTAACAGGAAAGACATAATTCATTTCTCCTGTGTGTACACCTATTTTGGACAAAATTTCGGCATGACTTCTGATTGGAAGAGTTTCTAAGGTTTTTTTATATGCAGGGTTTCAGAACTAGGAGTAAAGGTACCCGAATTGTCCTTGTTAGTGCCCCCTTGGGTTGCTAACCCTCGATCCTAGTCCATTACAGACTAAAGTGAATCGAGTTCAATTCGAGGGGATACATTTCTCTATGCCTGACACGGAGAATAAATTCTCACGAAGACAGAGAGCATATGAACCCCGAAAGTTACTTGCTAGGTCTGACACGGAGAATAAATTCTCACGAAGACGTTGCTTTCACTTTCACTTAAAAGGGACAACTCAATTATAGAGCTTTATGTTATGCAATGCAAGTGTTGTGTGTGAGGAGAAATGTTAAACTTTTGACATAAAAATAAATACTGAAATAAAATACTTGCATATACAAATAAAACAGATAAATATTATGAAAATAAGTAAATATAAAAATTTTGCAAAGATAAAATTAGAAATTAAATATATGAATTTTTAATTTTTATTTTATAGAGACAATTTATAATTGATTTTTAAAAGTTTGACCGTCCCCAGCAGAGTCGCCAAGCTGTCGTAACCGGTTTTCGTCCGGGCACGAAATATTAAATTTTGGCGGGGAAATTAATGTTAATAAATAATTTTGAAAATAATTTGTGAGTCGCCATCGGCCTTTTTGAGTCAGGTAGGTCGAATACCTAAAAATTATCTTTTAAAAGAGATTTTAAGAAAACAATATTTAAAAGATGAACTGATCTGCGTTTTATAACCAAAAATTCGTTCTTTTTAATAATAAAAGGGATTCGTGGTCGGTTACGTTTAGGGAAGGATTAGCACCCCTACAACGCCCAAAATTGGTACTTTTAATTATAAATTGTCTCTAGTATTAAAAATTTAAAAATTCAAAATATATTTAATTTATAATTCTATTATTTCAAAATTATATAAAAAATATTTTTTATTTAAAAATATCCGAAAAGAACTTCTAGGTGCCTTAAGACAGCTCTTTTTCTTTGATATTGATAAATATTAATTTAAATAATATTGTTTAATTTTAAAATATCAGAATAGGACATCCAGTTGTATTAAGACTGTCCTTTTCTTCGATATTATTAAAAATAAATATTTAAAAGTTAATATTTATTATATATATTTTGAATATATATCAAAATATTTAACGATATAATAAAAGAATAATTCTATTAAAACAATATATTTAAAAACAATAAAATAAATTAAACATATAAAATAAATGACTAAATTGCAGTAAAAATAAAATTAATTCATAATTAATCAAAACTATAGGGATTAAATATGTTATTTTTTTTTTTATTTATTTAGTGACTAAAATAAAATCATCTAAAATTCGGATATTAGATTCAAATAAATTAAAAATATAAGCTAGGGATTAAAATATTATTTATTAAAATTAAAGGATTAAATACGTATTTATCCTAAATATATTATTAATAGAAAGGACTAAATAAATAAATCCAAATTAAAGAACCAAATTATAAAGATCTAAAATTAGGTTCAGTGACTAAAATATAAAGTTTACAAATTTAGAGGACTGCGGAAAGGATTTAACCTTTCTATAATTACGCACAGGTCCTCCCTTAAACGACGCCGTTTAAGAGAGGGTATAAATACCCTAGGTTGGCTGGCCCTTCGGGCCAGCATCTCATTTCTCCTTTCTTTCTTCTCTCTCTCAAACTGAGAGAGAGATTTCTCTCTCGCCTCTCTCTAGGTTTCCCTCACCGGAGGGAAACCGGCAGCCATAGGCCACCGTACTCCGCCGCCGGCCACCGCCGCCGGCCACCGTAACGGTGGTCGGAATTCACCAAAGACACCCCCAAATTGTAGATCTAAATGCCCTAAGACCGATTCCGGTCTTTGTTTTCCCTAAAAGACTCCTAATCGGAGTAAATCTAACAAAACCGAAGGGTTCTACCTTCTTAAACGGCGGTTTGGCAACGTTTGGCTTCCGAGGGCCACAAAGGCTTCAAGGGTAAGTCTTCTTCTTCTCTTTTCCTTTGGTTTACTGCTGTGGTTGCTATTCGTTGTTGTTGTATCCTCTTTTTTTTCTTGTTGTTGGCTGTCTCGGTTCTTCCTCCCCTTTTTTTTTTTTTCTGTGTCTCGTCCTCTCCTCTCTGTCTTGCAGGTGGGTGGTGGCTTTTATAGCCACCACCGGTGCGGTCATCGGACCGGTCCGAAGAGAGGGCTTTGGTGAGTCACCGGACTACCAGTGGTGACTCACCCCGTAGCCTTGGCGTGGACGGCCGGTGTTGATCTTCTGGAGCCTTCATTCGGGACGTGGCAGCGGCGGAGGCGTCGGCAGTGGGCCATTGGACCACTTGGCAGTGAGGCGGCGGCTGGGATCTGGAAGCATCAGAGGCGGCTGGGTGTGGCTAGGGTTTAGAAACCCTAGCTGAAACCTTACTAATTGTTTTAGGGTTTTTGGTTGGCTGGACCGGTTCTAGTTGGCTTGTAACTGGGCCGGTCCAGTTGTAATTATTTATTAAATAATAATAATAATAATATATATATTAATAATAATAATAAATACTAATAATAATAATAATAATAATAATAATAATAATAATGATAATAATAATATTAATATTAATAATAATAATAATAAAATGGATAAAAAATAGTATCTTCACCATTAACCATGCAGTCCATGTACAAGTCATTATACAAATTACGAATTTTGGTGCAAAAATCTTTCTTCCTTGACTGATCCATAAAAGTGGGTTTATTTTGGTATGAACAGAAAGCTAATCTAGCAGAATTCTCAGTTTATATATTTAACTCGCTTTCCAGTCCCCATTAATTTCCTCCGGTTGACTACAAAAGTTAAAGAGTTTAAACAGACTTTTCATTGCCTAACAAGCAGTCTTTAACAAAAGAAAGGGATTTAGAAATACCAAAACAAGAAGATAATAAACTTCAGACAGACAAACAGAAGACTAAGAACAAAAAAGAAGCATAACGGATGCAATGCCTCAACAAACAACTTATCTCTTTAAGAATAAGCTGAGAACAAAACATATTACTCTCAGATTGACTAATCTTCTACATGCTCTAAACCAGATAGACTTCATGTATAAGTTCTGAGTTAGATAATTACTCAGTATTAACCCATTGGGAATGAAACAAATAACTGATATGTATATATTTGGTATATAGTTTCCAGCATGTACCTTCAGCAACTATGGGTTCATATGGAGGAGGTTGAGCAGTCCAGTTCCCTTCAGAATCTTTCATGTGTCTTCTATCAGATGCAAAGTGACGAAGGAATAAAGGAGCATGCACTACCCGAAAAAACCTGATATGATATATATATACAAGTACCTAATGATTAATGAGGGTCATAGAAAAAGGAAATTCCTCAATAACTACGCGAATTCATGCTTAGACTGTAAACATACGACATTAATCATTCATCAAATTTTCCTGTGCTTGTTTAGAATAGGCAAATGGAAAAAAAGGGTAGAAACAAAATGATGTTGTAAAATCTCCAACATTGTGCAATTACTTGAAAATGAAAACTATAAAGCCTCACCAGAATGCTTCTAGAACTACATGCAAGACACCAAACAAATGGTAATGTTTTTAATTACAGGTTGAGTTTGGATAAGACTATCAGGACTTGGATGTTTCAAATAAAACTAGAAGAATATATATTTACAGGAAGCACATGATATTGCAATGAAAATTATAATGATCAAAATAATATCAAGCAGAGGCACAAAGGTCAGCTTAGAGATATCAGCATTCTTAAATTTAATGTTAAAGTTGAATTTCAACCTAAACACTGCAGGAATGATTGACAGCCTCCTTTAGCAGATGCCATATGTATTCATAAAGGGAAGTATACAGCATAATAAATAATAAAGAGCTTCCCCAAAATCTCCTAAAACTGCATATGTACTATGTGATATGTGTCTTCAAATTCTATCTTAGCATTTTGTCCTAACTCGTAACACCAAATATTTTAAGATAAAAATCAATCACGGGAGGTTTTACAAGAAGTAGATTTCACAGTTCCATCATCAGATTATATCTAGGTAAGAAGGCAAAAGAAAAAAAATTGACGAGTAACTCGATATACCTAATGTTCTGTCAAATACAAGTATTGAACAAGAAAGGGTATCCTCTACAAACATTAGCAGCAGGAAACTAAAATTTACCTCACCTCTGAAACTCTGAAAACAGCTGAAAAGATGGCCGGAAAGTTTCAGACACATAGGTAGCTAAAGGACAAGGAAATGGAAGACTTGAATCCAAGTCCCATACTAAATGAGTATCACCATCTTTCTTCCTCTAAAGAAGCAAAATGGAAAAGCAATCAATCACGAATTACAGTAAACTCATGAAATGATCCCAGAGCTCGTTTGAATGAAAACAAAATTTACTAGATTAAATCACACTATGAAGGCTCGGCTCTCACCTGAACACAAATAACATGGTAATCCCAGAGAATTACACCATCTGCTCTATTGCTAGCCTTTTGATGCCAAAGTGGAATCTGCAAAGTTTTCATAGAAAACATAAGAAAAACATTTCACCAAAACTATACACAAGACAATCAAATTAGAATTAGAGTTGTAACAATAAAAAAAAGGCCACTAGGACCATCATTTCACAGAAGCAGCACTTCATCATTCCCATATCCTATATATGTCCCCAATTCTCAAATAAAAGAAACAAGCATTCTTTACATTGGAAAAGCTCAACGCTATGCACTGTTTACAATAACACACTTTAGTATTTCAGTAATACATCATCCAACGTATAATCTCATTTTTTCTTTTCAAAGGAAGAATAAAGTAAAAGAACTCGAACATTTTAACATGCTATGATGTGAAATTTGGAGACTCTCTAAAAAGAAAGGAAACCCCCCAATTCACAAAATGTATTATTTATAGGAATACACTTTACAGGCAGTTCACTACAACTTTGAACATCCAATAATGCAAAATTCAAGCATATTTCTAAGAGAGAGAAAAACCTAATATCTCAATTGGACAAAGCAGTTCCAAAGAAGCGAAAAGGGTAATAAAATTGGGGTAAATATATACATGCCTGTTTATTGTCATTGGAGATGAAAACGACAAAAATATCAGATCCTTGAGCATCGGCTATCCCGGATGAACAAAGTTTCTTGCAAAGGAAATACACGTTTTCCTCACTGGAAACACACCCAGTTGATATAATTCAGGGATAGATTCACTAAACAACGAAAGAGCTGAGTAAGGAAAGCAAAAGATAAAGAGGAAAAGAAAGAAGAAAAAAAAACCAGTAAAAAGTAGTGTGATCGAAGTCGGAAGCCTTCAAGGATGGCTGCAAATGCAATTCCGACGTCGTCATTCCGACTCTCCCGTAGTAACAAATTTACTGCTTTGATTTCTCTATTAAAGCAAAAAAGATCAAATGATCTTCTAGTTATAGAGTATTATTTTGTCTTTCAATTTTTAAAAGTTATAAAAATGGTCATTTAACTATTCATTGTATTCTGAGCTCGTGATTTTATGTTAAAAATGAGGGTTGCCTAGCTGAACGTTAACATAATAACTGAGATATAATAATTTTTTAGATTATGAGATCATATTTTATCGTATCACAGTTAGTAATTTAACGTTCAATTCAAAGTACCATCAACCTTTAAACGGGAAAGAATAAATTTGGAATATAACGAATAGTCGGGTGACTATTTTGAACTTTTAATAGTCGAGAGACTTAACAAAACAACATTCTATAGTTAGATGACCATTTTATAATTTTTAATAGTCGAAACTTAATAAAGTAATATTCTATAGTTGGAGGACCATTTGTGTACTTTATTTTTTTTAAATCCTTTAATTATGAAAAAGTTATAAATTGATCATTTAATTAAAATAATAATAAATTAATTGGGTAAACTATGCATTTATTGACTCATCTATTCTTATGGTTTCATTTTTTTTTTGGATAATCAATTTTATTAATCCAAAGAAAGCAGGAAACTGCTACAAAGAAAACAATTACAACCAGTTATGTAAGCCCCCAATCAATGCAAAGTTGTCTATTTACACTATCCACTCTATTCATTCTATGTCTATACAATTTTAATTCTAACTGCCTCTTTTATAATATTTACAATTAAATCCGTCGAACGCGATAAACCTCTAAAGATACGATGATTCCGCTCCTCCCAAGTAAAGTAAACGAATCCAGTCCATGCTAATTTTAGAACATGAATCAGCAGGGACTTACCTTTCCAGTTATTAATCATCCAACCAAGGTGATCCTCCCAACTAGATCCATGTAACTGCAACCCACAAGGAAGCAAGAGAGAGTTCCAGATAGCACTCGAATAAGCACAATCCCAGAACAGATGATTCCTGGATTCAAGCCCACTCATACACAACCTACAACCAGGCTCTGCCATCACTCCAAACCGAACTAGCATGTCCTTAGTGGGCAGCCTGTCAAGGATAGCCATCCACGCGATCAACGAGAACTTAGGAACATGAGAGGGAAACCAAACAAGCCGATGCCAATCAACATTTTCACCTCTGTCCCGAATTCTTTCCCATATTCACCCACCTGTAATCTGAGACCAGTCCACAGGAGCAGCAAAAAGAACACTAGCCTCTTCTCGCAACTTAATTAGTTTTCTGAGAATCCAACTGAAATGAGGCTTATGATCAACACTCCAGTAATTCTTATGTTTGAAGCAATAAGCTTTGATCCATGCTATCCACAAAGAGCCCTCATCAGCTAAGATGCTCTTGACAAGCATAAGACAGCAGGTCTTATTCCAACCAATCAGACTTCGAAGACCTAAGCCTCCCTCCGATCTCAGGGAACAGATTTGAGACCAACTGACTCTAGCACCCCTAGCCGAGGAATCACTTCCTTTCCAAAAGAAACGCATGCACAACCGTTCAATATCCTGAATCACACCCTTTGGCAGTATAAGCTGCCTGCTCCAGTAGTTAAAAACACTAAACAAAACTGCCTTGATAAGCTGCAACCTGCCACCAAAGCTTAGCTTTCTGCTTGACCACTTCCTCAGCTTGTCCCTGATTTTCTCTATAAGGGCAGAACAATCTGTTCTAGAGAGCTTGCGAGTTACTAGAGGCACCCCAAAATATCTGACTGGGAGATGACCAATTCGAAACCCAGTGGCTCTCTTAATCTGCTCTAAAACTCCATTATTTACCCCACAAGTATAGATCTCAGTCTTTGAAACATTGAGCATTAAGCCAGACATTTCATAGAATTTATTCAAAACACTAACCACCCCCAACACTGAATCCAAGGAACCATAGCAGAACAACATCAAATCATCAGCAAAACATAAATGGGTAAGGGAGATCTTTTTTACATCTAGGGTGATATTTGAAAATACCAATCCTGGCTGCAGCATCCAGTAATCTAGAAAGAACATTCATGACCAATACAAATAGGTAAGGAGACAAAGGGTCACCTTGCCTAACACCCCTTGCACCCTTGAAGTAACCCACTAGACTACCATTCAAAGCAATTGAATAGCTAGGGGTTGTCACACAAATCTTAATCCAGTCACAGAATCTAGCAGGCAAACCCATAGCTTCAAGAACATTGAACAGGAAATCCCAGTTAATAGAATCAAATGCTTTCTTCAAGTCTATCTTAATAGCACATCTAGGAGAAATATTCTTCCTAGAATATCCTCTAACAATTTCTTGAGCAAGCAAAGTGTTATCAGTGATACTTCTGCCCTTGACAAAAGCAGACTGGCTAGCAGAGATCATATCAGGAAAATAATGGCCTAGCCTAGTAACCAAGATCCTGGTAATGGTCTTATAAACAATAGAACAGCACGGAATAGGCCTAAATTCACTTGCCATACAGGCATTCAAGGATTTTGGCACTAGTACTATTGTGGTTGTATTAAAAGCTGGCAGAAGATAAGAAGTTTGATTTCATTTTAAAAGTTTGGTTTCATTTTAGTTTTCTAACTATAACCTTTTTTTCTAAATTGGTTCCCAAAATTTTAAATATTTTAATTTTATATGTAAATTCATCTAAATATGTAATTAGTTTTAACCATAGTTTAACCTAAGTTTTGTTTTTTTTCTTTCTTTCAAACATATAATAATATAAAATGGTTGAACGATTTTATTAACAAGGGATGTGATTAGTATATACGAATAGTTTGGGATGAAATTCAAATGTTAAAAAATTTTGGGGCCGATTTAGAATAAAGATCATAATTTTGGGATGAAATTGAAATATTAAAAAAATTTAGGGCTGATTTAAAAGGATAGTTATAATTTAGGAATGCAATTAAAATATTTAAAAATATAACGACCAATTTAAAATGATGATCATAATTTGAGGATATGTGATGTAATTAACTTATAATGAAATGACATAAGGAATTATTTCAAACTAAACAATGAAGGTCATTTTGATTATTTTTTCTAAAAATATTCTTTCCTGTAAAAATTTTAAATATCTAAATAAACACACATAATTAAATATTTTTTTTTTTAAGATTCACCTCTGATATCTATTTAAGGAATGAGAAAGTAAACCCTAAGAAAGGAGTTGCAGGTGCTGTTATTTTATATATACATATATAATATACTCCGACTGCTAGAAGTTTTTCTTTTGGTTCTGTCTCATCAGAAATATGGAAGAACTGTTGAAGGATTTTGAAGTGCAGCCGAAAAACTCGTCGGAGGAGGCATTACGGCGGTGGAGAAAGCTCGTTACAATTGTTAGGAACCCTCGCCGGAGATTTCGTATGATCGCGAATCTCGAAAAACGATCCGAAGCTGAGCAGCAGAAGATCAAAATAAAGGTTTGCGTCTAATTATCCCCTTAATACTTTTTTTTATGAAAATTTCATTATTATCATTCTTCTTCTCTCAAATTTTCCGAAGAACTAGAAAATGCACAGTATTTTTTTTTTCATTTTTAATCAACTTTGGAATCAAAGAAAATGAAAGTCATCCCATTGGAATTTGGATAGAATTATATTCTCCCCGTCTTCTTTTTTTCTTTTGGTTAAAATATGTTCCGAGGAACCAGAGGAAATTTTCATTTAATTTTTGTGTTAAGCGATACTGTGTGTATTAAACAGTTGGTACAAATTAGGGAATCTCATTTCATTTCTGAATTTATGCCGCATAAGGCCAATTAATTAATGTTAAACTTGAAAATTTTCGATCTGGTGAATCCATAGGTCTTTTAATTAGGGAACATTTGGCTGTATTTATCTGCGCTTACCAATGATTTATTGCCACGTTTGGGGCATCTGGTGGTCGAACATGGGCTCACACTAAGGTGGTGTCGTGGCAATGTGTGATTCAGTCAAATGCATTTTAAAGTCACGCCTTTAAACCAATTAAATATCAGGAAAATTATGCTCCTTCCATTGCTTTTTACGGTGGAAAATCCACCATTGTAGTGCCTGTACCTTTCAACTTTCTTTTGGGCGGTGATCCGCTGCTTGAAGTTGAATATTTTATCAACTTTTCAAAAGATAATTATTATAAAACAGATATTTGTTTAAAAATTCATAAAAGTTGAATCATTTGTTTTGATTTTTAATGTTGTTTGATTGTTACTTAAAAGATTTGTAAAAATTCATAAACTTTTCTTTATTTATAGTCTATCATCTATGTTAGTTTGATTTATGATAGAATGCCAAATATTGGAATTCCTTTGACATGAATTTATTAATTTTTTTCATATATTTAATTTGAAGAGGTATTCATACGTAAGAACTGGGAAAAAATTATGAGTTAGATCATCATCATGTCATGGCTTTTAAAGTATTATTAATAGAATTTTTAGAAGTCGAACGAAACGGATCTGCTGACCGTTACTCTAATAAATTTTGTTGGTTTTTAAACTTTTAAACATGTTAATGGAACTTTCAGTTCATCTTTCTTAGAGATATAGCTAGGTCTTTATTTGAAATGTTTCTTTTATGCTATGCCAGAATTTATCAGCCTTTTTCTGACTTTTGCTAACGATAAAAGATTGCAAATGAAACTTCTTTGAAGTTCCCTAATACGTTTCATGGTTAAGTAAGATCAAAAGATTTCAGAGATTTATTAAATGTTAACATTTTAAAATTAATTTGAAATTTTTGACATTTATGATTGTTTTGTCTGAATAAATAATTATTTTAGAAAATTTAGGCTATCAAAATTTCCTTTCTAAAATTCCTTATAAGAAATTCATTTTTAAGATTTCAAAAACCTTGATAAAAATGAATCTCCTCAAAATTCTCCATCCAAACACACTCTTATGGAACGTAATAAGTACAGTTCATGCTAGAAGAAGCTATGGAAAACCCTTTATGTCAAGGATAAGGATGGCTTTACTTGTCCCATTTGCTCTGCAAGAATCATGCCCCACCCATAATGTTTATCCGACTTCTGAAACTAATAACGTGCTTCATTTATTGCCTTCTGAGCTTTGAACTGTTGTAGCCGTTGACTTGTCTTCTAGCTTCAGCTAGCTGTAGTAGAAAACTATGATAAAACCTCCAAATGTGATATCATATATTTGCAAAAATTGTATGTTTTTCAAGCTTGGGATTAAGAACCTGATAAAGGAATGTCATGTCAACTGATGTTAGATTTCTTTGAAGTATGTGCTCAATTCTGATAAAAGGAATATATAATGAAAATGTTATGAATGCGTCAAATCAACTGAAGGGTTGTGTTAATAGCTTTTCTTGCGTTGAGGGAGCACTTTTGAATTCTGATTGTCCTATGGTTTCATGTTAAATGGAGGTATAGTCCCAATAAAATGCCCATACTAGTTTCTTTTGAATAGGTTCTACAATACTTTTTATCATCAACTGAAGTGAAAAAAAGAAAAAAGAAAAAATGACTTGTTACAAAGACATGATGGAAATTGGAAAAGGCATGGATATGGTTGATGAAATGAATCTTGGTAAACATACATTATTCAAGTAAGACAAATTTCCCCTTGAGCATCTAATTCATTTGCTTTTAGATTGCTATATATGTATGCTATAATCATTCATGAATATGGATGCATTGGAAACAATATATCCATGATGAGATTTGTTCTTTTCCGAATAATTAATTTCTAATGAGATATTGGAACATAATATTGTTGTGCATATCAAAGATCAGTTCCCAGTCAAGATCATAAATTCCAATGATAGTCTGAAAATGTTCTTTGGGAATGTGACAGGGAACATTTTAAGATTTCTGTATGAACATGATTGGGAACACTTTAAGATTTCTATTGCAGTGAATATACTATTATTTTTCTGATGAATGCAAATGTCTTTAAAATTCTGAAACAACACCAAGTATTACAGTTGCAATGAATAGATTATTTTTGTTCTAAACTTCTTTGATCTTATAATACTTTTCACTTGTTCATTGTATTTTCATGCAAACCAGGAGAAAATTCGAGTTGCTCTTCTTGTTCAGAAAGCGGCTATAAAGTTTACTGATGGTATGATATGCCGTTGTGATCTTAAAAAAGCTTATATGATTGCCCTTTATATGTTATCTGTGCCCTCTTGTATAAATCATCTTATCCTTCGATCATGTTCAGCTGCTGGTCCACATGATTACAAGCTTACCGACGAGGTTAGAGAAGCAAACTTTGGAATTGAACCAGATGAACTTGCTTCTATTGTTCATGGCCATGATTTTAAGCGCTTAAAGTTGCATGGGGGAGTTGAAGGGATTGCTGAGAAAGTCACAGTCTCCCTTGATGAAGGTGTCCGTTCGGAAAATGTATCTACTAGGCAAAAGATTTATGGCTTCAACCGGTACACTGAGAAGCCTCCAAGAAATTTCTGGATGTTTGTGTGGGATGCACTCCAAGACTTGACCTTGATTATCCTTATGGTTTGCGCTGTGATATCATTAGGTGTTGGACTTGCTACAGAGGGGTGGCCAAAGGGAGTGTATGATGGAGCGGGAATTCTACTTAGTATAATCTTGGTAGTATTAGTTACTGCTATTAGTGACTACAGGCAATCTTTGCAATTCAGAGACCTTGATAGGGAGAAAAAAAAGATTTCTGTTCAAGTTACAAGAAACAGACGTAGGCAACAAGTTTCTATTTATGACCTGGTTGTCGGTGATGTTATTCATTTAGGTATTGGCGACCAAGTTCCAGCGGATGGGCTGTTCATTTCAGGATACAGCTTGCAGATAGATGAGTCAAGTTTGTCAGGGGAGACTGACCCGGTGGACATATATGAAGAACATCCTTTTCTTCTTTCAGGAACCAAAGTTAGAGATGGGTCAGCAAAGATGCTGGTTACTGCTGTTGGTATGAGAACTGAATGGGGGAAGTTGATGGAAACTTTGAATGAGGGGGGAGAAGATGAGACCCCACTTCAGGTGAAATTGAATGGCGTTGCTACAATTATTGGTAAAATCGGATTGACTTTTGCTGTGCTCACTTTTTTGGTTTTAACAGTAAGGTTTCTCATTGAGAAAGCCGTAAAAAATGATTTCACAAAATGGTCTTCGACTGATGCATTGACGCTTCTAGACTATTTTGCTATTGCTGTAACTATAATAGTTGTTGCTGTTCCAGAAGGATTACCATTGGCAGTGACACTCAGCCTGGCTTTTGCAATGAAGCAATTAATGGATGAAAGGGCACTGGTCAGGCATCTCTCCGCATGTGAGACAATGGGTTCTGCTAGTTGCATCTGTACTGACAAGACAGGGACACTGACCTCAAACCATATGGTGGTTAATAGGATATGGATATGTGAGAAAATTAAAAACATTGGTAGTAATGAGCACAAGAACCTCGACGAGCTGGAGATATCTGAAAGTGTTTTAAGCATCCTTCTGCGTGCTTTATTCCTAAATAGTAGTGCTGAAGTAGTGAAGGGTGAAAATGGAAAGAACTCCATTTTGGGAACCCCAACAGAAACAGCACTGTTGGAATTTGGGCTTCTTTTGAGTGGTGATCATGATGCATACCGAAGACAGATTAAGATTCTCAAGGTTGAGCCTTTCAATTCAGACAAGAAGAAGATGTCTGTCTTGGTGGCTTTGCCTGACGGCAGAATTCAAGCTTTTTGTAAAGGTGCGCCTGAAATAGTAATGCGAATGTGTGAAAAGGTTGTTGATTGCAATGGGGAACTAGTGCATTTATCTGAAGAACGAGCGAGAAATATAACAGAGGCCATAAATGGCTTTGCTTCCGATGCTCTAAGGACTCTGTGCTTGGCTGTTAAAGATGCAGATGAAACTTTTAATGAGAATAGCATACCTGATAGTGGCTATACCTTGATAGCGGTTTTTGGGATCAAGGATCCTGTGCGTCCTGGAGTCAAGGAAGCAGTTCAAACCTGTCTATCTGCTGGAATTACTGTTCGTATGGTCACTGGTGATAATATTAATACAGCAAAAGCAATAGCAAAAGAATGTGGCATTCTAACAGCAGAAGGGAATGCCATAGAAGGACCAGAATTTAGTAGCAAGTCTCTTGATGAGATGAGGGACATTATACCAAATATTCAGGTTCTCATGACCATAAAAAACTTTTAATCACTATTTATGCTTCATGAGGTGTACATTTTCTTGAATACTGTTCTGATTGCAGGTAATGGCACGCTCAAAGCCTTCTGATAAGCTCAAGTTCGTAACCCATTTGAGAAATATGTTTGGCGAAGTTGTAGCAGTGACTGGTGATGGGACCAACGATGCTCCAGCTTTGTGCCAGTCAGATATTGGACTTGCAATGGGGATAGCTGGAACGGAGGTTTGTGTGCATGGATAGTTTATTTAATAATGATGATTCTAACAAGCTTGGGCTTTGATAACATCTTTTCATGCTACTTACCATCCTATGTGATGTTAGTTTATTGTTTATTCTCTGTTTCCATTGGATGTCATCTCTCTCCAGGGACTTCTTTGTATTCCATTTTTGTAATCATTTTTATCCCTTATAATCTCTTATTTTGTTTTGAATTCCATGTTTACTACCCTATTACTTATATTTGCTGACCTTCCTGAATTAGTTATTCCAGGTAGTTTTTTTTGCCTTTTTAAACAAGGTTTCTCAATACCTTGGTTCCAACTTCAATTTTTTAAAGATTACGTCTGCGGATATTTTAAGCTTTAGATTTTTCTCTGTTTCTCTTTCTAACTAGATGCTTTTCCTATTCTTTGGAAGAATAACGTATATAATTTTGTAAATGATTCTCAATCAAAAGAAATTTTTGGATCTGTTGCTGGTTTGTTGCTTCCATTTTCTTGGTATCATTGAACTTAATTCTCTCAGTTTCTACTATATTTTAAGCATTTTTTGGCGGATAAGCATACTTGTTTCTTTATCGAGCATGTTCCCATCATTTTATTTCTCTCCCTAACATTCTTATACAAGGTATGCAATCCTTTTTTGATGAAAGACCTGTGTAATTTCATAAATGGTATTTTTCTTTCTGTAGAGATATTTGTATAATTGCAGCTTCTGATGAGTTTTATTGGATTGATTTAAAGTTTTTTTCTTTTATTTCTTTGTGCTTGATATCCGTAAGTTTTATAAGGTTGAACTATACGGGTTTATAACTGTCAGCAGTCACTATCATTCATGCAAGTAAATCAAGTTTTTTCCTGAATTGCTGAAAATATTTAGGAATAGCAGCATGGTAACATTTAGTTCATGAGGTATTTAGAATGAACTAAGATGTATGTTTGACACTCTTGACTATTCTCTCTCGTTCTTGGATGTTAAGATTTCTGTTACCAGGTTATGAGATATTTTTATTCTGGCCGACCTTGTTCTATATCAAACTTTTTAACATTCTTATCATTCTACTCCAACTTTCATGTCGTTAATACCTTGATTTTACAGGTTGCAAAAGAAAATGCTGATGTCATCATAATGGACGATAATTTTGCTACTATTGTAAATGTAGCCAAATGGGGACGTGCAGTATATATTAACATCCAAAAGTTTGTGCAGTTCCAGTTAACAGTTAACGTTGTAGCTCTCGTAATAAATTTTGTCTCCGCATGCGTCTCAGGTTTGTTGTTCTTTGAAGTTGGCATTCAGACATTTCATATTTGTAATAATAAGACATTATCATTAGCTGACTTGTGCAAGACTTTCAGGATCTGCCCCTCTCACAGCTGTACAATTGCTATGGGTTAATATGATAATGGACACTCTTGGGGCGTTGGCATTGGCTATAGAGCCTCCAAATGATGCATTAATGAAAAGGCCGCCTGTCCCGAGGGGTGCAAGTTTTATCACCAAACCGATGTGGAGAAATATCATTGGTCAAAGTATATATCAACTAATTGTACTTGGTGTTCTCAATTTCGACGGGAAGCAGCTTTTTGGGGCTTACTGGTTCAGATGCTACCATTGTTCTGAATACTGTGATATTCAATTCATTTGTGTTTTGCCAGGTATGATTTCTCAGATTTAGGCAACTGTTGCATTGCTTTTTATGTATGTTTTAGGATGGATTATTCTCCAGCATGACATAGTCTCACGTTAAGTGTCATTTGATCAGACCATCCTCAAAAGGTTTCAAGATAGAAGTGTGTTAACTTTTTCAGTGCTTTAACTCAATTTTCATTAGGTCAGTAACAAAATGTCATAGTGAAACTGGTTGTGGTCAGGCAGGAGCCTTGGGCCCCTCTTGGCTCCTTGGTTCTTAACAACTATCTTACACAGAAAACTTTTTTTGGTCCCTAAAAACTATTGTAATCCGATCTTGTTTAAGAAGTAAAACAGCTTTTACCACATGTTTGGTTTGGATGTTTGCAGGTGTTCAATGAAATGAATAGCCGTGACATAGAGAAGATAAATATATTCCGGGGGATGTTTAGCAGCTGGATATTCATGGGGGTGATAGTTGTGACCGTAGCATTCCAAGTGGTGATAGTCGAGTACCTCGGAGCATTTGCCAGCACTGTGCCTCTGAGCTGGCAACTATGGGTATTTTGCATCTTAGTTGGGTCAGTTAGCTTGATTGTTGGTGTCATTCTCAAGTGCATCCCTGTCGGAAGCTCAGATGTTAAGCCGAAACACCATGATGGCTATGATCCACTTCCCACTGGTCCAGAGATTGCATGACCCTCACCCCCAACCCCAAAAAAAGTAGACTTACGTTTCATTTCTGAGGCTTTTTATTTTTTGAAAGGAATTGGGGTCTTGTTAAAAACCCTTCCTAACTAAATCTAGACCGAAACCCAAAAATTTTGAACAGCTTAGGGAGGAGATTAACTAAGTTCATATAAAATATCACCTTCGTGTTTAAAATTTTAAAATTTAATGTTTTAAAGTCTTTGTTCACACCGCTAATCACTAATTTTTTTCCTTCTGATTTGGTGGGGTTTACTGATAAAAAGAAAAATGAGAAATCCCATATTCTCTCTCAGCCTAAACATTTGTTTCTGCCTGAGCCTAGCTTTTCTACTTGCTTAACAGTGAACACAATGGATGCAGCTAAAACTGGGAAGGGCTCCCCAAATGAATAAGAGTAAGAATATAGCATCTAATACAAGGCAAGATATGCATCTCTCTCCATACTACTATTACTAAGAATCTGCCCTTCGAATCTCACTATGCTCTTAAGGCAAACTCAACTCTTGCAGGTCGACTAAAGAAAATATCGGTAAAATGCGATGGATCATTTATCTAAACCTATGCTTTGCTTCTCCATAAGAAACAACATCGAGGACAGTTATAGTGTAACCACCGATGCCCATAATCGTGGCGGGATTTCTGGACAGGAGGATCGATATTACAACCGCCACAGCACCTTTTGCATTGCCTAACACCTGATCACAAATATCATTCCGATGGAAGATGAGAAAATGCAAGAACAATGTGAAAACACAATTGCTCCTATTATTGTAGGAGAAATGCAGAAGAGGAATGTCCACTTAATGACCAGCTTTTGATTTAGCTTTCAGCTATGTGCATATTGTGAGGAACTGCTTATGATTGTTTTTCTACCGTGCGTCCACCTGCCGCTTGGGATTCCTTTCCTGGTCACTAGAGATTTTAAAGGGCTAAGTACGCTATTCTTTGTGTCCCGACCCTCACACTCCTTCATTAGCTAAGGCATGAATTTGGACTCTGAGATCCCTTAATATATCCACCTATGCAACAAAAGGCTTTATTGAAAGCAAAGCATGCATGCGTTTCATGGCCAGGCACCTACTAATCAATGCTTTCAACAAGACTACAAACTGATACTTGTCGATAAACTCGTATAACCTACACGCTTTAGACAACATTTCAGGCAAGTATAAATGATGGTGAAATAGTCATTTTTGTAAAGTGATGGAAGTCAACCATCAGTGAAGTTTGTTCATACAGACAAGCTCATGCATTATAGCTATATAGGGTTCTTCTTTGTGCAATTGATAGGAAGCAGTTACTAGCATCACTTTAATCGGATTTTTTATGAGCTTATCCAATTTAATAAGAATGGCTTGGGACATAGTTTAGTACTGAAGGTCAATATTTAATACCATGATCCATACAATAGACATTAAAGAATAAACTAGAGGAAGGAAGAAGATATCAAACCTGTAGTGTTAAAGCACTTGTATGTTTTGTCACCAAGAAGTTCAACAAGTTAGCCGCATATGCCATTGTTGAGAAGGGGTCGGGAGAATTTAGGGAAAGATAATCCCTTCGTTTTCCTAGTAGGTCTTGTTATTTTCATCATGCCAAAATTATCCATCATCACTCGGAATATTAGGGGCCTGCGAAGAAAGGAAAAACAACGTGCAATTCAGAGTTTGTTATCTAAAAAGAATCCGTCCTTTCTCTTTTTACAAGATATCAAGGTTGGCGTTTTATCAAAATATGTCTTGAGAAGAATTGGGGGAAATAATCTTCAGGGTTATGTGTTTTCTCCAGCTGAAGGATCGACAGGAGGATTACTGAGCTGTTGGGATGAAAGTATTTTCGAAGTTAAAGAACATTTTGTAAATAGAAGGTACATTGCCATTTTTGGGCAATTTCGAGAGAATCAATTTAATTGTGGTTTCATCAATGTGTATGGGCCGGCTACAGAGGATGAGAAAGGATATTTTTTTTGAAGAGATGGTGCAATCGACAATCCTGGATCACAAAAGAAAAAAGAAAAGAGTAGAAATCCTAAGCATCTTGAGAAGCACTAAAGCAGCCATAAAAGATTGGCTAGGAAATAGAAATCTGCATCTGGCAGATTCAATCTCTGTTGTTGAAAATAAATTACATGATCTGGAAAAAGAATTTCAGCAGAATCCTGAATCGTCTGATATAGTCACCTCATTGGCTAAATTGAGGAAGGAATTATAGAGGCTGTATTAATTGATGAACAAATTTGGCACCAAAAATCTAGATCAAAATGGGTGAGAGAAGGTGATCGAAATTCTAGATTTTTCTATATATGTGCATCTAACAGAAGGAGAATGAATTTTATGGTAGCCCTGAGGGTTAAGGGTAATCTTATTAAAAAAACCTTCACTCATCAAGGCAAGTGTTCGAGATCACTTTTTCGAAATCTACAATTCTAGATCAACTTTAGAAGTAGTAGATATGGAGCTGAATTTCGTCAAACTAACCGTTGAACAAAGCCTCATGTTGGAAAAGAAATTCTCGGAGGAAGAAATATGGGAAGCTATTAATTCTTGTGATAGCAACAAAGCTCCTGGGCCAGACGGTTTGAACATGAGTTTTTTTTTAAAAGTTCTGGTCATATGAAATTCTTTAAGAATTTCTCCTCCGAAAAAGCTTGGGAGCATGGAATCAACCATACTTTCATTACTCTCATTTCAAAGAGATCTAATCCAGAAAGTTTAGATGACTACAGACCCATCAGTTTGGTAGGAGAAATATACAATATTCTCTCGAAGGTTCTCTCAAGAAGGCTAAGGATATGTATTAGCGGCATAATCAGTCCTTCCCAATTCACTTTCATTCCAGGTCGTCAAATTCTGGACTGCTCTTTCATTGCCAACGAAGGGATAGATTTGGAGGAAAAATGGTCTTAAGGGAGCCATGTTCAAGGTGTATTTTAGGAAGGCTTATGACACAGTGAATTGATCAATTTTGTTTAAAGTTATAGAGAAAATGGGCTTCGGTGAGAGATGGCGCAATTAGATGTATAAGTGTGTTTCATCGGCTTTTGTCTCGACTTTGGTAAATGGTGTCCTTACTGAGGAATTTCCAATGGCTAAGGGACTTAGACAGCGCTATTCTCTCCCTCCATTGCTTTTTAATTTGATTGGGAACTTATCAATTTATTGTTGTCGAAGGCAGTCTCTACTGGGCTCTTTTGTGGTTTCAATATTGGCAGGAATGAGGAATTTTTTAAACTTTCACATCTGGAATTTGCAAATGATCTTATAGTTTTCTGCAATGCTTCAAAGACTCGGATTAGAAATGTGAAAAGAGTTTTACGTGTTTTCGAAATTATGTTTGGTCTTCAGTTGAACTTCTCCAAAAGTAAACTATTCGATATTAATACAAGCGAAGAATAGGTGAAAGATTGGGCGTCTTCTATCAGATGTGCAATTGGCACCTTTCCTTCTGATTACCTCAATCTCTTGCTTAGAGCGAAGAGAAATTCTACAATTTTGTAGGAACCTGTCATTCAGAAATTTCACAGTAAACTTGTTGGTTAGACGGCAACATCTCTTTCTATAGTTGGGAAATTGGTTTTTCTAAAAGTTGTTTTATGTTCTCTCCCAACCTATTTCTTATCAATTTTTAAGATCCCCTCAAGTGTGAATAGGAAGCTAAATTCCATAATGGCAAACTTTTTATGGGGGAGAGGTTTTGAAAGGGATAAAATTCATTGGGTAAATTCGATGACAATATATAAATCTCAAGACAATGAAGGTTTAGGAGTTATGGATCTCAATCTAATGAATAGAGCCCTTTTAGAGAAATGTTATTGGAAGTTTGCAAACGAAAAGGACTATGAGTGGAGGAAGCTAATTTACAATAAATATAACCTAGATAAAAAAATCGTTGGTGTTCAACAATCGAGTACCAACAAATGCTTCCTGGATTTGGAGATCTGTGGCGAATAATCACTTTAAAAATTATTCCTTTGGCTCCAATTTTTGCAACTTTTTTCAAATCAAGGTGGGGAATGGTGATGATATTCGTTTTTGGCATGACATTTGGGTTATGGAAGTCCCCCTCAAAGAAATTTTCCCTAGGCTTTTTGCCCTCTGTACTAATCAAATGGAAGACTACTTAAGTTTGATGAATATGGAGTTAGAAGTTGCAATTGACATGTTGAGATAAGAAGGAAGAGTGATTGAGAGTTAGATCAGTGGATTGAATTGTTGGCAGCAATCACCAATATTAGTATTCTGGAAAATTTGAGAGATGGCCTAATTTGGAGAGGAAATGAGGATGGAGTTTACTCAGTTAGATCTTGTATAAACTCTTGTTCCGTCGAGATGAGTCCAAATCAGTTTTGGAAAAGTTATATTTGGAAGGGTTTGGTGCCTCTAAGAGTGGAGACTTTCATGTGGCAAGTGGTTCATCAAAAATTGGCTGTAAGTGCTGAACTAATAAGGAGAGGTGTTCAAGGGATAATGGATCCATTGTGTCCTTTATGCAAATAGGAAATAGAAATTGTTTCGCACTTATTTTTTTCCTGCATTGTTACGTAAAGACTATGGACTAGATTTATGCATTTTTGGAGAATTTCAGCGGTTATACATGAAAATGCGCTTTGTTTTCTTTCAGCTAGGGAGAAACTAGTACCTCATTCAACCATTTGGAGATTTATTCCTGGTGTAGTTCTGTGGACGATTTAAAAATGTAGGAATGCCATTGTTTTTGAAAAGGGGATGTTTGATCCTGTTTAGTTGTTTTTCACAGTAAGGTTCAGATTAGCAGCTTGGTTCCTAGCAAAATTCTCTAATGTTCCTATATCAATGGATTCCCTCATTGGCAACCCCTCTGTTGAAGACCTATGCTCTGTCCCAAGATGTCAGCATACAAATCGGATATCCTGGTCCCGCCTCCCATGGGATTTTTAAAATTGGATATAGATGCTGCAGTCAAATGTGATTGGAAGGCAAGTGGTATAGGTGAGATTCTAAGAGATAGCTTCAGCACAGTGCTTGGAACTTTTTTAGAACCTGTTGGTCCGGGTCCTCCACTTTTAATGGAACTAAACACCATTAAATTAGGCCTAATCCTTTTTGAATCATCTAGCTGGTATTCTAAGGGTAGGTTGATTATTGAGAGTGATAGTACAAAGTGTGGAGTGGGTTAAGATCAGGATCATGGAGGGCATTCTCCGTTGGGTAGCTAGGCCAGCAAATATAGAAGCAGACACTTTAACTAAGGTAGGAATAGGTTAAGATAGGGTGTTTTTGGTTGGGTTTTGGTTTTATCTTGTCTCTTGTTTCATGCTTCCTGAACTGTGTTATTAATATTGTTGTACTGATCTGCTTTGTACTTTTTCTTTTTTATTAATAAAATTAGAGGCACTCTTTTTCTCATTCCGTTGTTTAGTGGAATACCCTATGATGTTCTAGTAATTATGAAAGGGGTTTTTAACGAGGCCTCCGCTTCTTATTAAAAAAATTGAGAAGCTGCAGCCACATGTATCTATGTTGTCTTCCAAGTGATAAGGTGACTTCTAACACATTGGGCTCCATCATAAGTACTGCAGGCACTAGAACTAGAACTGCAATCGGGGACATATAGAGTAGCAAATTCATCGAGTTCAACTTTTCTCTGTAACAATGAACCAACAGCAAAAGCAGGTCTGTTAAGAGGGAAAGCCAAATGGAAATGCTTATAGGATAAAAGAGAAAGATATGATGTGGCCGCCGGGAGATGAGGGAACAGAAACATTAGATATCCTTGACACACTTCGAGATGAAAGCAAAAGCCTTCTGCACTTGTGTATGAACACTGGTCGTTTAAGCTGGTCTACTTTCATTTCATTTTCTGGTAAATATCAATGGAACAGATGTGATCATCAACAAGCAAAGACATTCACGCAGAAAATAAACAAAAGGCAAAACCAATACCATATGCTTCGACTTCGATGGGAGCATATATACATTGAACACATAAAGAAATCTGCCTTCTGCAAATTATGAAGGCCCTTCAGAAGAAAGCAGAATGCCCTGAAGAACAGATTTGAAGGCCCTTGCAGAAGTTGCACTTATGCACATAATGAATCCAAACCAGTGAAAACCTGGTTCACCCTGCCACAAAATTCATTAACCGAATAAGCTTTTAACAAACAAAGGTACTGTAGAACTGCTGAAAGTTACTTAGAGCTCTGTCTCCTTCCATGTTAGCAAATCAGGAACTCAATGACCGGGTTTTCAAGAAAATTTCCTTTGCAGCATGAACGGATGACAAGTAGCAAAGAGCACGCTAGACATTTTTTTTTTGAAGTACCTCGTCTTAAAAACTTAACGACTGCACTTTTATGGGAAAATTACATTATTTATTACTCAACTATTTTTTCACTCTTATTTTTGGCACTAAAGTTTAAAACTTTTCAATTTAACTACAAAACTTTCAAATTGCTCATATTGTAATCGTTCTAATTTATTTTATTAATAATTTTTATGACATGATATTATTATTATTTTATTAATATATAGTTAAAAAAATAAATTTGAAAGTTAGACTGATTAATTAGGAGTAATAAGTTAAGTAATTAAATTAAAAAATTGAAACTTTAGTGACTAAAATAGAAGTGAGAAGATAGTTGAGTGATGAATGATGCAATTTATCCATAAAAAGGTGCCACGTGTAGGGGTGAGCGTTCAATCTAGTCGAGTCAAAAAATTCGAGTTATTCCAGTTGACGAGTCCTATTTTACAACTTGGAGTTGACTTGAATTTTTTTGAGTCGAGTCGATTTTTCGAGTTTCTGTTTAAATTTAATTGTGAATATTTATAATATTATTTGGTTCCAATTTAAGTGAGTTTCTATAACCATATATACAATACAAATATGTTTCTACATATATTTTTTTCATATGTGATATACATATATCATACAAAATCCAATGACTCGACTCAAACTTGAAAATAAATCCACTAATTACTAAAAATCTTGAGTTATTCGAGTTGCATTTTACAACTCGATTTGAACTTGAAGTTTTTTCGAGCCGAGTTTATGAAATTGTAACTCAAAGTCAATTCGAGTCGAGTTTTTTCGAGTCGAATAAATCAATTTTTTGAGTCGAGCCAAGTTTTGCTCACCCCTAGCCACGTGCAAATAACCCGTTAAGTTTTTAACAACGAGGTACTAAAACAAAACAAAAACTAAACATTAAGCATGATTTTTTTTAAAAATTAAAAGTTTAGATACTAAAATAAATCAAAACTGATAGTTTAAGTACTAAACACGTAACTTACCTTAAATTTCATCATATTCAAACCAAGATGTGTTTTCATGTTAAATGGTTTGGCTCAAATTTTCTTATAGAAGTAGTGGGTGTATTTAACTACAAAAGAGAACGATTGCATATCTATTATTTTTAGAATTTTTTTTGATAAAGTGTAAATCTAAATCCAAATTCTAATCCTAGAGAGGAGAAAGGAAGGAATTCTCTTAATGGCAGATTACAAAAATAAATAGCTCGATCAACCGATCAAATGTGTTTGATTATTTTGAGAAATTGTTAAATTTAATTTTATGTGTCAAGTAAATTGAAAAAAATACATAGTTCTTTTAAAAATAAAATATTAAAACTTTAGACCCTTACTTTTGCCACTATTTCCATGTGCAGCCCCTAATGACCAACACTAACGAGTGTACTTAGAATTTACTTTTGTATGACTCTTGGAAAGTGCTTTTGGTTCACTCCTTGACATTTCTCAAAAACATTTTTCAATCACAGCAATGCTAAACTAACCCTAATTCATTCCATTTCTTAATCAGTCTGAAATCATCTTCAACTAAGGCTAAAGATTTTGAAAGAAAAAAAATCTTGAAAAAGTTTCTCCAAGATGTAATGATGCACCAAATGATTATACAAAGTCGCAAGGAAAATGTTTACGAATGCCGGGTCGACGAGAAACGTTTGAAAACAATGCATATCGTTCTTTAGTGATAAAGCATAAGACTTTGTTTCAGCTAGAATGACAATCTTCAAGGACCAAACTCATAATCTCATGGCCTCCAACTTTGAAGATGTCTGTTCTGTTGCCTCTGAAACATGACCTGCTGACACTGAATGGATGTATTAGCAATGTGTGGCACGCCACGACTCAAAATGTTCGAACGCTAAAGACATGAAGAAAAAGGGAATATACATGATTCATTAGCAGTATTATTGATGGCTCAGGCACACTCTAGGCTTTAGAACCATATTGCCTGAAGCACAAGGCGCAAACTTGCCTAAGACTAAGTATTTGAATCAGCTTAGATATATAATTCCGACAAAAATTCGAAAGTCATATTCTCGAAACTCTTTTCTTGGATACACAGGTTCTCGAAAGTCTAATTACTCTAGAACTATAGGTTATCTGAGTTTTGCTGTCCTAAATCCAAACTTACTCGCATATGATTTCTGGTTCCAGGAGAATAGATAACATATTAACTGAATAGTCAGCACAACAGTTATCAATGTTTACCTTTCATACACTCCAATTTCTGATCAGCCTCCTTAACTGCTCGGACAAGATGTGAAATCCGATATTTGTGTTTTTCATTTTCCATGGCCAACTGCTTAGCCTACAAGCAACAAGTCAGCATGCTATAAACCCTATTGTTTTCCACAGAATATGAGACGGTTTCGACTACCTTTTCTCGCTCTGAAAGTGCCTCAGCATTTGCAGCTTCTAACTTCGCCTGTAATTCAGTTATTAATTGGGAAGGTTCCTGTTTTGCCGCATCTATATCGCCAACATTTAGGAACCCCATTATAATCTAATTTATGTAAGCATAACCGAGTTGAAAACGGAATACATACATACATACATCAACCGTTACCTTTGTTGCCTACTAGAACGGCTTCTAGCCTGGATAATCGTTCCTTTAATACAAAAAGAAAAAATACTAGTAAGCAGAGCACAGAATGTAATATCAAAAGAATTCAAATGTTTATAAATTGATACCGAAAATAATAATTTAATCACATCCATTCATACGAGTTTCAAAGGAAACCGAGTTCAACAAGTCAGAAACTACATAAAAATCAATAGTTTGAACCGATATGTACTTTCAAGGGTTGAGAATGTACATCGCTAAACAAATAGCTAGGTTATAAATCCAGTTTGTGCACAAATGGAAAGCAATGCAGATTTATTTCAAAAGGGAATATCAATCAGGCCAAGGCAATTTCCATGACTGCTCAAATGATAACAATTAGGGTCGTAAACAAGCCAAGTCGAGCTTGAGTATTACTAAGCTCGACTCGACTCGAAAACTCGCGAGCCTAACATTTTCAAGCTCGACTCGAACTCGAAATCATAAACCGATGCTCATAAAAGCTCGAAATGAAAAAAAAATCTTAAACTTAACTCGATTAAAGGCTCAAACTCAAACTCAAACCTTAAATACATGAAAACTTCTACAACATTTTTTTAAAAAAAAACACATAAATGTTAATATTATTAATAATTTTTTAAAAAAATCTTAATATATTATATTTTCGACCTAGTCGAGTATCGTGTAGCTCGTTTTGGCTCATTACGAACTCGAGTCAAGTATTTATCGACCTTTGACCGAATCGATCTGGAGTAGCTAGTGATATGCTGGTCTCATATACGGCCCTAATAACAATGGCAGAATTAAACATCTCTAGTAACCCTACGAAAGACTCTAATTAAGGTACGTCCATGGAACGCCATTGCTGGAGAAAATGATGAAGAAATACATTCGACACTTGAAAAACGGGGTTCAAATTTCAAACCCAGAAAGAAAAACGCAGATTGAAAGAGAACCCTTTATCCAGAACTCCGCAAATACTGAGTTCTATTGGAAAAATATTAAGCTATTTCAACAAGATTACTAATCTAAGAGAATTTCTATCAGCAAAAACATAAAGCAAAACTGAAAAAAAATGTTCAACGATGAAAGAAAAACACAAGTAAAAGATTTGCAAACCTCGGCCTCGATAGCTCTCTGGTAGAAGGGCTTGAGGAGCTCTTCACTCGCCATGTTTGGTTTCGTTCAAACTTAACACTGTGATGAAAACCCTAATTTAGTGGTTCTATTCAGGGTATATTCCACGCTCGTTTCGGTTGCTTCCACGCGCATTAACAATGATGACTCGTGCGAAAGTAGAAAAAGGATAAAGTACATAAATGGTCCCTTACTATAAGGTACTTCTTTATTAAATCTCTTAACTATTAAAAGTTATAAAATAACTTTCAACTATTGGCGATTTCTTTAGCAGTTCAATACAACATTTTAGCCCATCGCATTGTGGATCGAATTTGAGATGTTACATTTTAAATACTATAGAGATATCTTCTAAAACCGAAAGTTTTTACTATCACCTAAAATCATAAAAATTTAGTTATGATAGATGTTGTGGCATCTATCACTCGTGTTCGATTTCTAAATTGAATAAGAGATTTTATACCTCCATCATCTCCCAATCGATTAACAGATTGGATATAAATGATTATAAAAAACAATGATAAATGATGAATATTATAAGTACCACCTTATTTAATTTACAAGATATGTCACACACGAAGCACTTATGGTACACCAGTTAAAACCAAAAGTAAATTCACCGTCACCAACACCATATGTATAGCGAAAGCAAAATACTTGAAAAACAATACTATTTGAAACCAGCAATGGAACGGTGCATATGGCAAAGTGTGATTGAACTTGACGTCGGACGATATGCTTGTTTAATCCGTCCTAGGCTGTTTCGATTCCGGCAATGTGCCCATCCACGAAGGAGGGAGCATTCCGGTTTGCTCGTGAACCGTCTTAAACAACGGCGGCAGCATCCGATAAACACCGGCAACCTCCTTCATTGCACTGCTACCATTACCATCAATTGCTTCTCCACCGCCGTTAGTCCAGATGCTGATCCTAGGCTGAAGGCCACGCACAGCTTCAGCGTTGATCTTAGCAATCTCTTGAAACATTCCACCGTTGATCATTAGGTAATCCCTGAGGGCAGCATAATTGCCTCCCAGTGCGTCTAAAAGTGTTCGCAGGTAAACACCCTGGGCTTGTGCAAGGGCCATCAGCCCTTCCGCTTCTTTCTGCTTGGCGTACAGTTCTACATCAGCAACCCTCTGACGACCATAAAACGTTGCATCCGCAATGGCCTTCTGCGCCGCGGCTTCTTTTTCCTTCTCATACAATATTGCCTCTGCTTGTTTTTGTTTTTGGTACAACTCCCAATTTGCTTCTTGCACCTGCGATTTCAAAGGATCAAAAACAAATGGTATATATTAGATAAGAAAAACCCTCAGTTGAAATCATTAAGTTGAAATCATTGAAGATCTCAATAGTTAAAAGGAGTATTGTTCTTTTGAGAGATTCTAAGTTCATAAAATTGCAGGTATATGCACATTATCAGTATATATATTTCAATTGTTAAAATGAGTATTGTTCTTCCTATAGGTTATGGATTTAAGTAATTGTATCTGCAGGGTGTATGTACGTTTTAATATATATATGTCTCAATAGTTAAAAAGAGTATTACTCTTCTTGAAGTTTAAGATTTAAGCAGTTGAATCTCTAGGGTGTATGCACGTAGTTATTGTCAATATATACATATGCATGCAGGGATATGCGTGTTGCGAGTATGTATGTTGTTTACCTTGGTATCGTACTCAACACTTGCTTGGCTAAGAAACTCAGCTTTGAGCTTCTCCGTCCTGGTCAAAGCGTTCATCCTCTCGACCTCCCTTTGCAACTCAGCGTCCCTCAATGCAACAGCTTTGGACGCTTCCACCTCCGCCACTTGCGCTTCCCTAGCCCAGCCGGCCTTCTTCTTCGCCAAATCTGCGTTTGCCTCGGCTAACTCGGCTTCCCTTTGGTTCTCATAAACTTTCACCTCGGTCTTCACCCTTATCTCCTCCTTCTTCCCCTCTCCCTGCCGCTGAGTGGATATAATCTTCGTGTCGGCGTCGATTTTCGCGGCGTTCTGAAGCGTTTGCCCCTCCCTTAGTTTGGACCCGATCTCCCCCTTCATCTTGGCCTCCGCCACGTCCACTTTGGCCTGATTAGCAGCTTCCATTTGGGTCTTCTGACCCAAGTAAGAAAAATACTCGTGTCCGGGCACATCCACAAGCTGCTTAACATTAGCGTTGTAAATCAACAGCCCGAACTGGTTGAGCTCAAGCTGGACTTTCTCGAAAACCTCGAGTTTGAACTCTTTGGTTCCTTTGAAAACCTCTTCCATGGTCATGGAAGCAGCAAGGACCCTGGTTTCACCTTCGATGATACCCTGTACGAGCTCTTTAACATGGTTAGAGAGCTTGTCATGAGGTGATATAAGCTTGGCGTACTTGAGGAGGCTGGCCTCATCGTCGACTCGAGGACCGATGGTGAAGACCGCCGGGAGGACGAAAGGGAGCTTCTCGGCGCTCATGGCTTGGACCTCGAAGGTGTAGTTTACCGGCGAGAGGTCGAAGACTGTGCAAGACTGACCGGGAAGTATCCATGCCTTCTTCGCAAGCTTTATGTCCGGGATGCCTATGCCTGTTATGACCAGATATTCCGATGCATTTGCTACCCTATACATGCTGCTGCTTTCTTTCTTATTTCACTCAAAGTAATACTAGTAATTAGAGAAGGGAAATTATTGGTATAATTCGGACCGGAAGAACATATATATATATATATATATATTGCAAAAAAAATAATGATTAAAATATAAACTCAAACATGTAGATATTAAAAATCCACGTTGTCGATAACATTAATGTTAAAGGTTGACCAATGAATAAGAAGTTGATTGGGAAATTTAACATGGAATTTCCCACTCTTTCCAGGAAAGTGTGGTGTATATTCACAATGAAAAGATAAATTTCATTGACATTATCATCAATTAGAATAAAAAATATATAATGCTAAAAATTTTCTTAACATTTAATGTAGTAATCATTTTCTCCTTCTTTAGAATATTTTGATTTTAACGTTTTATTTTAGGTAAAAAGACTCATTCGTGAATGAAAATATTTGGGTTAAAAAAAATAATACTCAAACGTTATTTAGTCAAATGTTAGGGACCTTTTTATCATAAAATAAAATATTTGGATCAAAATACATAATAGAGATTAAAATGACTATTTAATCAAATGTTAGTATATATTTTGACAGGATGCCTGTAGAAAGTCAATTGGTATAATAATATAAAATAATAGTTTGTTTAAATAAATTTTATTTGATTTAAATTTTATATTATTAATAAAAATTTTAATTAAATAAATATTTTTAATATTAATTTTTTAATAAATTATAATCATAAAAGATTATGAAGTTATTATATTTTTATTATTATATATATATATATATATATATATATATATATATATATATATATCATACAGCTAGCAAATATATTTTAAAATTACAGCTAGCAAATATATTTTAAAATTGGTTTGTATTATTTAATTATTTTCCTTATCATTTTTCGTGAGAAAATTTTCCAGAAATGTTTATTTATCCAGCCAGCAATTCCATCCAAATCAGCAAAACAGGCCTATTATCCGTACGATTTTTTTGGGTAAACTATGTATTTAATACCTCAACTATCACTTTTGGTCCGTTATGGCTACTCGACTATTTTCTTTTTTTAAATCATGATTAATGTTTAGATTTGGTTTCATTTTGGTCATCCGTCGTTAAAAGTTTGATAGTGATAACAATGTTTCACCATATGGTAATGTCATGCCATCATTGAAAAAAATAACACATTAGCAGTTATGTTATTTTTCTAACAATGGGTGACCAAATTAAATCAAAACGTAAAGTTAAGTATGATTTTTAAGGGGGAAAGTTAGGTGACCAAAACAGAACAAAAGTGATAGTTGAGAAACTAAATGTGTAGTTTACCCCTTTTCTCGTTGTTAATCGAAATAATACAATATTTAATTATTAAGTGTACCATTTTCTCCTAAAATATATCGTTCGCATCGAGTTGCCCCTTAAAGTATTTTTTCGTGACGTTTTGCCCTATGAAATTTCAATCGTTACCTCGTTTACTTTGGCTGTTAACTGGTCATCAAATTCTTTTAATGAAGTTAATGATTTGGGGGATACAAGATAACGATTTAAACTACATAGAACAAAATGTCTCAAAAATGATACTTTTTGGGACAACTCGATACAAATGACAAAATACATAGTTTTAGAAGATAAATTTGAGTGTATATAAAACAAGAGAAATGACAAAATTATTTCTTAAACCGTGATTGATATATATTTGACAGATTTATTTGATAGGTGTAAAAGAATAAGGGTAAAAAAAGAAATTTAAATATTATTATTTGTTGATTTTTCTAATAAGACTCGGACAATTTTAAAACTCAAAAGAGATAAATTTAATTGGATGGATAGAATATTATTTTAACTATTAACTGTTTTTGTGATGTTTGAATAAAAGGGCCAAAGAGAAGTCATCGCTAAATAAATATAAGTTATTTTCACAATAAAATACCTAAAATCTTATACCAAACCTACCTAGCAATTTTTTTAATGAAAAGTCAAAATCAATTTTCTTTTACCTCACGGTTTCGAAGCTTCGTCCTGACTAATCTGAATCGACTCACATCGTACATTTAAGTTCGGTGAGTAAGTCTCCTGATGGGGATTTTCTGCATACACAAAGACTTGAACCTAAAACTTTGCTTAAGCGATATCAAGCTTATTACCACTTGAACCAACCCCGTTGGTTAAAATCAATTCTTAGTCTCTAAAGATAATGAAAATAGGTTTTAATATATGTTTTTACATATAACAAGTTAAAATTATAGAATAGTGAAAAGAATAATCTATTAATCAAATATTAGTTTTTATAAAATTAGAATTATTTTTCATGCTACGTAGTGAATTTATATATTTTTCATGCTAAGTTTAGGATTTCAACTATCATTTTTGTTATGTTTTGATCACTTAATTATTATTTTTCCCAAATCATAATTAATATTACGTTTTAGTTTTTATTTTGGTTGCTCGTCCTTAAAAGTTTAACAGAAATGCTGATGTGATGTTTTTTTAATTTTTTCACTACTGACAGAGTATTACCTTATGGTGACACGTCAGCATCACTGTTAATTTTTTAACGGTAGATGACCAAAATGAAACTAAAACGTAAAATCGAGTATGATTTTGAAACAAAAAATAATTGGGTAACCAAAACAGAATAAAACTGATAGTTGGGGTACTAAGTGTGTACGTTTACCCATAAAATAATATCACACCTATGAATCACTACAATTTGGGTCAGAATTAGTTAACCTAAAATTAAATAACGAAAAATAATTTGACCAATATGTGCAAAAACCAGCCTTCAAGGAATAATTTTTAGTTGATAACTTATACTTTATATTCACAATCAGGAATTATTAACTGTTAATGCCTTTGATTTCCCTCAATCCAATGGTCCTAAAAATATAAAATTAAAAGAATTTACAATATAATGAATCCTAACCATACATATAATTCTAAGTTAATAGAAACCTAACTGAAAATAAAATAAAATTGTATTATAACAATTATATTTTGAATATATAAAGATCGCTTATACTATTATTTCGGAGTCAAAATGAGTGTTTTTTGCCTTGAACTCGAACCCGACCTTATCCGTCAAAAAACTCAACGGGTTCATGTCAATAACCATCCCTATTTCCAATCAGAAATCATTATTAAACAATCTAAAGGGAAGCATTTATGAGCCCAAATTGGAGTTCTTGTTGAATATATTATGGGTATGTCGTTGGTAAATGGACATTTTCTGGACCCAGGCTGGTTACATCTATGCAATATATGTCCTCCAAATGTTATAATGTAAATTAACCACCAACCTAAAACAATTCTCTCTCCCACCAAAAATGTACCTTGTCTTCCTTTCACGTCTATATATTATTATGTCTCCATGTTATGCTGCTCCATTTCGGTCCCGAAACCACCGGGACCAAACTCGTTTCCAGCTCGATGCTGAACCTGCCCGGAAGCTGATGCAGCTGTAATTGCCGGTGCTAGGTTTTCGTTAACACTCTTCTTAGGCCTCTTGGCCTCTTTGATTGCATGTCATCATCGTCTAGCTCATTTTCTACAAGGCTAAAATTCCTTTGATTAGCAGAAGTTTGTCTATCGGAAGCACTCTTCCTCTGCACAAGAATGTAAATAAAATAGAATTATTTATCAACACATATAATGTAAATAAAATTGAAAGGGGCCCTTCAAGGATCAACCAGAAATAATTGGATCATTCTTTCCAGCAGCTAATATAACATGAAACAAACCAATAGGATTACACAATACAATATGTGTGACTTGGAATATAATTTCATCTCTTGCATATTATTTTATTTTGGGATAACCCCGGAAGCTCTCTAATATCCGCTTTCATTATTTCTT